ACTACTAGTAGTAGCTACTACTACTAGCTACTACTACTAACTACTACTAGCTACTAGCTACTACTACTAACTACTACTAACTACTACTAGCTACTACTACTACTACTACTACTACTACTAACTACTACTACTACTAACTACTAACTACTAACTACTAACTACTAACTACTAACTACTAACTACTAACTACTAACTACTAACTACTAACTACTAACTATTAACTACTACCTACTACCTACTACCTACTACCTACTAACTACTACTAACTACTACTAACTACTACTAACTACTACTAGCTACTACTAGCTACTACTAGCTACTACTAGCTACTACTAGCTACTACTAGCTACTACTACTAACTACTACTAACTACTACTAGCTACTACTACTAGCTACTACTAGCTACTACTAGCTACTACTACTAGTTACTAGCTAGTACTACTAGCTACTACTACTAGCTACTACTACTAGTTACTAGCTAGTACTACTAGCTACTACTACTAGCTACTACTACTACTACTATCTACTACTACTAGCTACTACTACTACTACTAGCTACTACTGCTAGCTACTACTACTAGCTACTACTAGCTAGCTACGACGACGACTACTACTACGACTACTACGACTACTACGACTACTACAACTACGACTACAGCGACTACAGCGACTACTACGACTACGGCTACTACAACTACAACAACATCAACTACAGCTACAACTACAACTTTAACTACCACTGCACTACAGTACAACTGCAACTGCAACTACCACTACAACTACAACTACGCTACATACAGCTACAACAACTACAGCAACTACAACAACTGCTACAGCTTCAACTACAACTTCAACATTACAACTACAACAGCATCAACTACAGCTACAACTACGCTACAATACAACTACAGCATACTACAGCTACAACTACATCTAGATCACATTACACCACACTAAATCCAGCAGTGTGGTTGAAGTGACCACTGCAACCATTCCAAAATGCGTAGTTCCAACCATCTGGCGCTCTGCCATCCATGCGTCACAACAACTCACCTCTCCTATTATAGTGTCCTATCTTTGAAACTTCCGCCACCGTTTTGTGCGGTACTACTGGCATTTAAGTTTTTCATAGTTTTCCAACTGAGGTTCAAGTTTTATCTTCAGAATCTTACTTGACTTTGCTTCGTCCCTTTCAACCGGCTTAAACCTTCACAATTGATGTCCACCGTTTCCCAAGGGTCGGTGGCCCGACCGTTCACATTCAGGTTCCTTGGAACCGCGCCCTTTTCGGTTACAGTGCATATGCTTCGAAGAAACTACGAGTCGAAGCACCAACTTGAGTCGCAATTTGCAGACTTTGATTTGGATTTTGTGCAGCTTACTTGCAGCAATTTCACAAAGTTTACAGTTTCAAGGGCTCGCCCTTGCCAAGACATGACGTCTAAGATTCTTTTTGACTTTCGCAGGGCCACCAGTTTGAATTCCACCATCTGAGACCCCCCCTTGTCTCAGGCAATGCTCCAATGAATCAGACCGACACTTTGTGCACGCAGCCATCGTGGAATTGTATGGCAGCAAAGAAGCTTTTGCCGAGTTCGTTCGGGGACCGCTTCGAAGCTTTGTTGCAATGCAGATTGCATGGATATATCTATGGATATCTAATGAATCTAATGTTGCGACCTGGAGCTAATATGCGCTCTAATTATTTGTAATATTACATAATATTACATATATATATATATATATCTATCTATTGTATTTTGTAACTTTGTATTCAGATATTGGGCCCCGGATGGATTCGAAGTTGTCAAGCTGGCCCGCGGATCTGATTCTGCTCCTGTTGTTTCCCAGAAACACATTGGGACTGCAAGCCTTTGGATGTCTACCATTTCAGATACCTTGATATACCCCCATGTTTGTTTTCAAGTCCAACTTTAAAGAAATGAAGCCACGCCAATGGGTCCAAAGGGCAATGAATGACTTGGATTCGTAGTTTCAGCCTTGATTGGAAACAATCTTGGGAACGCAATCCAAGCTTCCGAGTCTGACTTTTGCAATGAAAAACTGAAACTCGAATTTGTCGACCAACTTAGTTATCAAAAGACCGAGCGTCTCATGATCCACAGAAAATTATGTAGAGTCTACTGGCTTTCAGGACAAGAACTGCTGGAGCCGTTGAACGAGAACACCATGCCAGCCTACTACACGCTGCTGCTTGTGATTCCCATGGTCTCCCTAGTTCTTGACACACTGATTGGTGTTTGGATGTGCGGCCCTCCCACTGAGTTATTTTGGCTGTATTTGGTGCTGCTTGGCTTAAAGCTGGCGGTCAATCTTGGGAGATGTCCCCAAAGGAGTTCCAAGAACAGAGTCCCAATAGGATCGACGGCGCGGTAACAAATTGTCAAGTCTAGCCATGTTCGAAGAAATCCTGGCGTGTAGCACTCCGGTATAGGATTTGCAAAGGCAAAACCCAACAAGCAGCAAATTGGGTGTGTGAACATCCCGCAACACATTGTGTAAAGCTTGATTGGTTAGATGGATGGTCCTCGTTTGGTATTTGATACACTTAGAGACAAGGAATTAGCCATGCACAAAAGTGTATATACTTTATTTTTGAACAATGCGCAAAAGAACGCACTGAGGGGTTCTCACGATAGGGGTAGAGGCCGGGGTTGGATCAAGGTGCTCCATCTGCTTCGCGACTTGTTGCTTATAAATTCTCGGGTGAAATTGTTCTTGTGAGATGTAAATGTGCATTTCGACTGCGGAGGCTCGCTCAAAGTCTGCGCCGCGAGTTTTTCCGGGCCTTGAGGCACGTTTTTTTTTCCTGTAAAATATATTTAAATATCGCATACAATAACTCTTCTGAGATGTCCATGTGCATTTCGATTGCGCAGGCTCGCGCAAAAGTGGTTGCCATGCCCCTGGGCCGCGGCATTTTTCCTGCACGATCTGAAGAGAATAAAATAGCTCTTCTGAGATGTCCACGTGCATTTCGCTTGCGCATACTCGCACAAAGTGGTTGTTGCGCTTCCGGGGCGCGGCATTCTTCCCATAAATTCTCGCATCAAACGACTCCACGCGGATTTCGATTGCGCAGACTCGCACAAAGTGTTGAAGCTGCTTCTTCTGGAGATCTTGGTGAAGCCCTCTCTACCAGGTCCTTGCATACTACTAGTAGGTCCTCGTATGATCTTGTACAGATCCTTGTCGGAAGACCTTGTGGAGTTCCTGTGGGGTCCTCTCTAGGGAGTCCTTGCATGAAGATCTTGCATCCCAATGACTCTACTAGAGGTGGTTGTATGAAAACTCTTCCGGGATGCTCTTGGGAGCTTCTTGTTCAGGGTTCTGGCAGGAAGATCTTGGTCAAGGTCTTTTACAATTCCGTGTGAGAAGATTTTGTAGAGATCCCGGTCCTGCAACCCTCTGAAAAGTCCTTGCGTGATCTTCTCACGTCCTTGTGAGCAGATCTTCTAAAATCTTGTTGAAACCCTCCTCACGAGGTCCTTGCATTACGAACTTGAAGATGCTCTGCGTTGGTGCTTGACTGCCAGTTCTTCTGTGATGCTCATAGGAAGTTCTCGTCTGATGATTTTGTGAGTTCCTCTATACTGATCTCTATAGAAGGTCCTGCTGCTGCAGCTGAGCGAAATGTCTAACCCGATCTGGCGATGTTCCATTGCTACTGTTGCTTGTATCTGGTACACTGACTTCCTACCCCCCCACACTGTTTGGGGTCTCTTGCCGGTGTAATTTTTGAATTACAAAGCAAAGGGTTTTGAAATGCCCATTCGTAAACAAACCATAACAACCCCCGTCGATCAGGTCCAGGGCCATCCTTTGCATTCTTCACTTCCCGGCCTGCGCCGATGCTCGGAGGGGCATGGGAAGAGAAAACGCTACTGGGATGATCCTTGAACCTTAACATCTTGTACCCCTATGGAAACCGAGGATACATGGAAGTTGCAAATGGAAAATAATCGAAAATCACCTATGAAAGGATGTTTTACTTCGAAAACCACGGCAGATAATTTGTAATTAGATTGAGGTTTTGAATTGAAAATCTGGATCATATGTTGTAAACGCATGGTTTTTTTTATTGGAAAATCATGGGCAAACATTTTCACATGCAAGGTGTTATATAATTGGAAAATCATTTGCACATGAAAATTTAAATGGAAAATCCTGAGCAATCATCTATACATGAATGTGTTGCATGGAATATCATGGACAATCATTCATGGAACATGATTTTTGAATGGGGGTTTTAACTGGTTATCTACACATGGATGTTGTCATTGGACGAACATTGAGATTCATCTATCAATGCAGGCTATGATTGGAAAATAATTGTGCATCTTCTAGAAATTGATGTTTCAAGTGGACTCTCCACTTGAAAAAGTCATGGAAAACAATCTATACATGAATGTTTTAAATGGAAAAATCATGAAAATAATTTGTAAAAACTGTTTAATTGAAAATCATAGAAAATCAATTGCACATTGATGTTTTTATTCGAAAATCACAGAAAATCATTTGCACCTGGATTTTCTCATTGGACAATCACGGGGACTAATTTGTAAATGGAGGTTTCAATTGGAGGTCATGGGCGGCCATTTTTTAACGAAGGTTTCAAGTGGAAAATGATAAAAACACATGTGCAGATGGTCGACAGATGGATTCCTTAATTGGGGGGGCCATGGAAAACAATCTATAAAGGGATGTTTCAATTGAACATCATGGGTAATCATGTGTAAATTGATGTTTTAATTCGAAAAGCATGAAACATGTTTTTTTTTATTAATGGATGTTCGTATTGGAAAACCAGGGGCAACCATTTATAATGAAGGCTTAAAGTGGAACATCATGGCGGATAATCATTCATGAAAAATTTGGAGAATCATCTATACATGGATGTTTCCATTGGAATACCATGTGTAAACCAAGTTTTTTACTTGGAAAATCATTGGCCAGCATTTATAGATCAATGTTTTAAACGTAACTTCATGGACAATCATGTATAAATGTGTGTCTTTATTGGGAAATCATGGAAACTTATGTGGAAATGACAGTTTTAACTGGAAACATGCGGGAAAATCAATCGTACATGAAGATGTCAAGCGGAACATCATGGGGCATCATCTATAAATGGATGTTTTAACTTGGAAAATGACGGAAATTCCTTTGTAAATGTGTTTTTTGGGGACAATCATACATAATCTTGTATAAATGGAGGTTTTAAGTTGAACATGAATGATTTTTTTAATGGAGGCCGTAATTGGATGAGAATCATCTATACATCGCTATACTTCGTTTTAATTGGAAAATCATTGGAAATCATCGGTGCTTATACTTGGAGGTTTAAGTGGAAAATCATGGGGCATCATCTATAAATGCATGTTTTCCCTTCGGAAAACCAGGAGCAACCCTGTACAAATAGAGTTTGAAGTTGAAGTGGAAAATCATGAAAATATGTTATAAACGGATGTCTTTAACAACAGGCGAGAATCATCTATACACTGATGTTTTAAATGGAAAATCATAAGAAATCATCTATACATGGAAATGTAGTTCAGTTGGAAAATCATGCAGAATCATGTGTTTGGAAAATCATGTGAAATCATTGGCAAATGTTTTTTAATGGACAACTATTGTCAACCATCTATAAATGGATGTTGTACTTGGTAAGTTCTTGGGAATCATCAATACATGGTCAAACTTGGGGAGCCCCAAAGACATGCTTGGAGACCACATGTTGTAAGGAAGAAGTTTTGAAATTTTAACCTAACATTTCCCTACAAATTATAAAACAAAGGTCCCTCCCTGGGTCCAGCGCTCCAGCGATGCAGGGATGCCGATCCAAGGGGATCCCATCGCATCTCAGGACTTGACCATATGGCTTTGCGATCGCTATGCGAAACCGTGGCATCCTTCCCCCATTTTGGAGACTTGATGCGGGACGCTGCGGGACCATGGGTTAATGATGGTTAATGGTTGATGGCTAATGGTGGGCATCCCAATGGCCCAATGGTTGATGGGATTATGGGTTAATGGTTGAAGGCGTGGCATCCTTCCCCCACCTTTTGGTGGGCTAATGGTTGATGGCTGAAAGATGGCGAATCCAATGTCGCAAAATGGGTACCGGGTCTTCTGGAGAGCGATTGTGAGTTCTTCTCCAACATGAAATGATCTATAAGTAAATAAATGACCTCCATTAAACAAGCAAATAAATAGATAAATATATGTATTTTTCTCCTTTAATTCTTGCACCTGCACATCTTACATCTTCTCACCTTACAGCTGCAAATCTTACATGTGCACATGTATCTTATTTCTGCGCATCTTACACCTGCAGACCTTACATATCCTTACATCTTCATATCCGCACATGTTACATCCGCACATTTTACATTTGCACATCTTGCATCTGCACACCTTACATCTTCACATCTTACATCCGTACACCTTACACCTGCGCATCTTACACCTACAAATCTTACATATTCTTACACATTCTACTTTGTTGGCGGTTCGTACTTGCTGAGCTTTAAGTTGTTTATAAGTTGCTTATAAGTATGTTGTACTATGGTTGTACTAACTACAACTTCGATAAGTATACTTACGGGAAGCATGAAGTTAGGGTAAGTTAAAGGATAGATACTGTAGATATAACAACTTATAAGTAGTTATAACTAAAATAAGTTCTCAGCTGGTTTTTTCCTTTTACCAAAAAATGCAAAACCTGAAAACTTATATAAGTTATGAAAACTTATTTTTTTTGCTGCAAAAATCCTAAACTTGAAGATTATACCCTTTTTCTTTGTTTTTTCTGTCAAATTTTCGATATAGCACGTGAAAAATCAATATCTTCGCGTTGCTCACTGGATCTGATGCGCAGCTTCTGTTTGCATTTGTTGTTTCATTTTGGTGGCGCAAAGCATTGCGGAAACGATTTTCCGCAGGAAAGTGTGTCACATGCTGCTAGCCTAGATTTTTCAATTCAATAATAGCTCATGTTTCATCATCCATGCATCTTAATGTATCTTAATGTATCTTTAGGTATCTTTATGTATCTTTATGTATCTTTCGAAACCGGTTGAAAAGATACATAAAGATACGTAAAGATACGTACGTATCTTCCGGAACGGTTTTGAAAGATACATAAAGATACGTAAAGATACGTACGTATCTTCCGGAACGGTTTTGAAAGATACATAAAGATACGTAAAGATACGTCAGAAACAAAAAGATACATAAAGATACATAAAGATACGTAAAGATACATAAAGATACAAAAAGATACATAAAAAACTATAGCAAACTCTACAAGATTACATACGTCACCTCGTTGCCACAGTTAGCGTCCTTAAAAAAACATTGTTTTTTTTTTCTCATATGTGCCTTCTTTGAAAGCAATGCCTGGCTACAGCGCGGTCCTCTGGACCGCGTGGTTGCGGTCCTCTGGGTCGCAAAGATGCGGTCCTCTGGACCGCAAAGCTTCCAAACACGCGAACCTTGATGCAAAACAATGAAAAATGTTAAACACCAAAATTTTGAAAACCTAAAAACTTATAGAAGTTATAACAACTTATTTAAACTTATCGAAGTTATGGAACATAGTTGTTTTCAAGGAAAACATAACTTCCATAACTTCGATAAGTTTACTTATATGTGCTACAACTGCTATAACTACCACAACTTACTTATAACTTCCGCAAGTACGAACTGCCAATAAAGTAGCATATGCAATTCTTGCATTTGCAAATCTTAAATCTTCACATTTATATAATCTTAACTTCTTACATTTGCTCATCGTACATCAGCACACCTGCGCAGCTTACATCTGGACATCTCGGATTCAAATCTTACATCTGCACATCTTCACATGTTTCACCCGCACATCTCAATATCTGCTCTCTCTTCTCTCTCTTCTCTCTGTTCTCTCTGTTCTCTGTGTTCTCTCTCTTCTCTCTCTCTCTCTCATCTCTGTCTTCTCTCCTTCTCTCTCTCTCTCTCACTCTCTCCCCTCTCTCCTTCTCTCCTTCTCTCCGTCTCTCCTTCTCTTTTAAAACCCTACAAGAAACCATCCCATGAACTAACCATAGAATGGTGTCATTGTAAATTGTGCCAAATGGGGGTATGCCCAACAATCAATCCCAATTAGCGATGATTTACCTGGGTTTCTCTTGCATCTCAATCTGAGGATTATCTGCAGACCTTCATTCTCTTCGCGGCCTTTATGATCCATGCCGCTGGCGGTTTGATGCTGACCTTGCGGGTTCACGGTAAAGGTAGTTGGTGGATGCTGCTGGGTACCTTGGTGGCTTGTCCGGGGCAGAAAAGCTGCGGATATTTTAGACACACCCGACGGCTATGAGAAAGAATGATGCATGGATCGATCTATGGATGGGATGAACGAGTAGATAGATCTATATATATATGTATATATATATATATATGATTATATATGATTATATATATATGATTATATATGATTATATATATATGATTTTATGATTATATATATATGTTGTATGTTAACAGGCTTCCTGCTTTGGGTGGACACCTGTGGAGGATTGTCAATGACAGGGCGAGGAAAACGCGTTCTCGTGGAAACCCTCAAAGCAAAGAACATCATGTTATCCTAAAAATTGTATGGTTCGGAATTGTCTTAAAATGCACCCCCGCTCTTCGGGAGCGCTCTGGACCTTGGCCAAGGTGATTTGTTTAACAACAGTTTGATGAGTTGCAAACTAATTGAATTCTTTGAAGCTAAATCAGCGGTCAAACCATTGCAATATTTTAAGCCCATCATACTTGCCGATGGTTTGTTGCTCCCAGCAACGCTCAGCCAATCTTGAGTTAAAGTCAAAACACCCGGAAATTGTATTGCACATAGATTTTAAAATGTTAAAAAAAGTGAGGAAAAACAACCTCCTGTGGCTCTCCTCAACTGCAACCATCAAAGACGTAATCTACTCAGGGTAAGGAGACCAGCCGCCAAAAAAACGTCCCACACCCCACCATGGATCAACCGTCAACATACTTATGGCCAACAACCAAGAAGGGGGTCTCGGGATGGATTTATGAAATGGTTCCCTCACCAGCCTGGACTATACTAATATGCAAATGTTGAGTTCCATCACTGACCGATCCCTCCAAAAAAACAACCATGGAACTCATTGGTGATAACGGTCAGGCTTTTCATCCAGTTTTTATCATCAGTTACTGGATATATTAACTGTGCGGCTCCGCTCTGGGGATTTTGTCATTGATAAGCACTGTGGAGGCTCAATAAGTTTTGAAATATGAACCGTTACTCTATGACTATCTTAACACAGAGTGTCAGCATGTGGTATATAATATTGAGTCCAATGACAGCAGCCGCCTAAGCCTTCGTACATGATGATTCCATTTACATTTCAATGAGTACAATCCCATTTGCTCTTTTAAAAAGGTTTTGATGATGGGGTGATGAAAAGCAGCCCAACAACCCTTCGGAATGAGGGTTTTTTTGTTTTGATCAGGTTCAGGATTTTGTTTTGGATTCTTGCTTTTCTGCTTTTCTTGGTTGTTTGCTTTTCCGCTTTTCCTGCTTCTTTGCTTCTTTGTTTTTCCTGCTTCTCTACTTTTCTGCTTCTCCGCTTTTCTGTTTCTCCTCTTTTCTGCTTCTCGCTGCTTATTTGCTTTTCTGCTTCTCTGCTTTTCCCTGCCACAAAATACATAAACCCTAAAAAACAATGTAGAAATCGTATACCAGCCAGCCCCATATCAACCCTACATAAACCCAAAAAACACCCCACCACAAAAAAAAACAAAAGCAACTCCAAGTAAACCCTAAACACATCCCAAATAAACCTAAATAGATCCTAAACCAATCCTAAGATCCTAAGTAGGTCTCAAGCCAAGCCTCATACACCCTAAAACCAACCCTAAATAGATCCTAAGCAAAATGACAGGTTGAAGTACCACAAATATAGCACATACCCTGCAAAATGGAAGGTGAACATGTGAACATGTAGCAAATACTATGGAAAATTGCAGGTTCTAGTTCCAAACTGTTGCAAATACAAGGCAAATTGTACCAGGAAAGACATAACAACCTGATCATTCCTCACCCCTTCGGAAATGATGATGCCATTCAAATTTTGGACCAGTAGAATTACGAGCCTTATCGAGCCTTGAACATGGAAAATACAACAACTGAATTTCTGCTTTAATGGGGAATCCATGGGAATCCTTGTCGCCGGTATGTGTTCGGTTGAAGAGTCAGGGGGTACAGTATACTGCCAACTTTAGAACTCAAAGTTTTTCAATGATACCTTCTATCACCTCAGTCGTCATCATTTATCCCTGGGCCTACTAACTGGGCGTAAGGTGTATTTAAGGTATTGATTTACTTATTTACTTGTTAGGGAGTAATGGTTTGATTTTTGACACGTTAGCTTGCATGTTTTTACCTATTTTAACAGCAAACATGTATATGATATGTAGATATGCGTATATGCAGGTAAATCGCTACATGGATATAGACAGATCCATAATTACGTATATAGAAGAATTAATACATGGAGAGAGATGGATGGATACGCAAGACAAGATCACATTAGTAAGGATGAATACTGGGACGTAGTCATGATCACAAATTAGATGAATAAATAACTATTCATAAATACTTTGATAGCTTTCAATATGGATGATGACAAATGACTATACATGATGCGAAACATGATTTAGATTCGATAAAAGGATGGATGGATGGATGGACGGATGGATGGACGGGACGGGACAGGACGGGACCGGACCGGACGGGACAGGATAGGATAGGATAGAATAGGATGAGTTAGTTGTATTAAGTAGCTTAGATTACATTGAATCAGATGGGATTGCAGTATCTAATTTGGATTGGATTTGATCGAATTCATGCGTGCACAAAAGTCCACGTATACGTGCATGTTTGACTTAGACTGGGAAATCAATTGTTGTTTGTTTCAGATCGCTTCAGATCCCTGGACGCGCCCGACTTTGTGAGTACATTGGATCGCAATCCCACTGATCCCAATAGGCCGCTATTGCGTAGCCATTATTCTCTCAGATATTCTGTTGAATCTCGACTCTCATCAACCTTCACTACCCTCTGTTCCATTCTGTTCCGGCATAGCGGGATGAATGGGTTCCTTGTGTGCGGCCCAGCTGCGGGCCTAGGTTGTTTTTTTCTGTTCAGCGGGGTCCGGGCTGCTTTGAATTACAAAGGACTGAGTTGCCGGCGGTGA